GTGTCTCTTGCAGTTATATGACAGATATAGACGTTCATAATACAACTTTATCCACGTATTTGTTTTTCGACCAACATCAAGAAAGAAAAAGTTACTCCATTCTATTTAATTTTTCCTTTTATGTTTTTTTTAAATTAAGAACTCCCACATTTATGAATGGATTTGAAGAATTCTTTAATCTGTATTTGACCTTGAAATCTCGAGATACATCAGAGAATCGTCAAAGTTAAATAGGTAATGACTGCTGAGTGATATATTTGAAGTCGGTTCTATTTTTAGCCAATAAAGTATTATACCTGTTAAAGTTACAGAGACAATTGTCTATTTTAACAGAACGGTTTACACCATATGACGTTTGAACAACAAACACGCAAATCCGCCTACGTAATATTTATCTTGGGCGCAATAAAACCGAGTGAGCTTTAATGCAGTTGTTGAATGTTTTTATACGATTGCAACGCAAGAGTTCAACTTTCGCGGTTCATTAGCAAACGTCGCGCGACGTCGACGGATTGCTTTATAATGGCACGCTCGGTAATATATCACGGCTCTGATATCTGTCAGCGGAATGGGAAGCGTTCAAGGAGTCAGACATTCAGTCATTAGTCAGACATTGCCGTATTCGGCACACGGTTAAGTCAAGTTATAGCAAAGTGATTAAGTCATTTCGCATCTTTACAATTAACTGTAATTCACTAGACCTATTTAAAAAAAACTCAATTTCTGGGAAACATAAAATAAAGATATGTGCGCTTATGAACAAACTTCGTGATTGTAGGGGAGTTTAAGAAACCGAAGTATACGTTAAGTAGCTATCTACGAACAAAATCGGCCCCAATTTTAATAAGAGTTGAAAAAGGTATTTTTTTTGTCGTATCCTGTATCATCAAATCATGATTTTTACGTAAAGTCACAATCATTATTTTCTCAATTAGACCCTTTTAATTCTAAAGGTACGATTTATTCACATAAGTTCTGTGAAATAAGATTTCGTTTCTAAATGCACGACGCCCCTAACAGTTATCTATGGTTGAGATATTTAAATATGTAATTAGTAGCTCACATCATGTTCACAGATTTTACTTATACAATTTATTCAGATGCACGCTGAAAAAATGTAGTGTATCGAATTCTTCGAGTGTTGTGCTTGGATTTATTTTAATAATAACAAAACAGGTGGCAATGCCCTTAACTCTTCACCCTTGAAATAAAGGGATATCATAATTTCCATACTTATTGAAGGGACCGTTCTTCATATCAATAGCCTCACAACCTTGCAGGGAGCAGGATTTGAGGCTTACAAAATCTTGTGTGGGACCTCCATAATGTGGTAATAAACTTACACCGCCGCGCCCATTGACATTTGCAACAGCCAAAGGTTTGCCACTTTATTATAAAGTGGCAAAAGTATAACATTTCCACATCACGCCGGTCTTCTCTGAGGTCGCGGTACTTACCCGGACGGAGCTGCCCATAGCATTTAATTTCTCTCTTTTTTATTTTTAATGTGGCTTTGCACGTACAAAATACGCAGTAAAAATCATCACGAAATAAACTCGATCAAGATGGATAGCGTACGGGGATTAAATAGGATCAAGGAGCCCGTCTATGTACTCTGGATCAATATCACTCGGCGCTATTAGTCTGTGCCATTTGTTATTATTACGCCTAATCCATATTTATTAACAGATTACATTGTTTGATATCTCTTTGCTGGTACCACACTAATGATATCCAATTCGTCTGTATCGATGAACGATACGCCTAGATCCATTAGACCGATCCCTCGTAGATTAGGGTAAAGATGAAGATTTCTCCTAGTGAAACTAAATCCCTGTGTCAATAATTTATGTAGCTGGAGTTCTTATGAACATACATAAGGTTAAAGAAAATTTAAATCTGGAATAAATTGATTTTTCGTGTAGTCCTCCAGTGCTTGAAGAATATTGTGCCTGTATTAAAAACAAACGTTTATTTAGTTGAAGAAAATTGCAATCTAGGCTGGATTTGTCTTTTGATAGAAGTAGCCACTGCTTAATTACTACACTCACGCCTATATATATATATATATATATATATATATTTTTTTTTTTTTTAAATATTTTTGTTTATAAGTTGTTGTCGGATTTAAGTCGTGTGCACAGAACAAAGTCTGTCGGTCCGCTAGTATAATAATAAATCTTAAACAAAACAATCACATCTTCTAATTTCTATTAGAAGTAGACAGAAAACTAATCTTTGTTTCTCATCCTTATTACATCTAAGTGCTGTCGGCACAACATACCGATCATGTTGTAAGTGGTTTCGGCTAGCTTTTACGACCGGTCGCCCGCCTGACGTCAACCCTCCTTGGGAAACAAACACCCAGATTCGGAACAATATCTTTGGGTTACACAGACACGTGACCCCTGTGAGTATCTCCTACGACTCCGGGTGGCGAAGCGAACGGTTTAGCGGAAAACTAGCGATTTTCGAAAATGAACATAATAATAAATTCGATAAATGGGAAAACAACTGGTGTCACTGAATTTGGAACCCACGACGGACGGGTGAGTCGACTCAGTCATCGCTTCTATTTACAACCATTTAAATACTTAATTATCGATTCGTAGTTATTAAGTTACTTGACCCAACTCGCTTAGGTCCGTTGTAATAAATTGCTATTGGCAATTTCTGTGTCGCTTGTTCGTCTTTCAAAACACTTTTTTACCTGTGGTAGGGCCACGCAGCAGCCTCGGCTGATGCACGAATGCGCAGGCTCGTCCGGGTAAGTACTACGACCTCACAGAAGACCGGCGTATAATAATGAAGTATAATTTCGCGTTTCGTCTGGTGAGTGAGGTAGCCGGAGTCCAATTTTCAAAAGGGTGTCAACGCATCTGCAACCCTCGGTTGTAGCAGATGGCCACGGGCGGCGGTATTCACTTAACATAAGGTGAACCGCCTGTTTGCTTGGCAACTTTTCACATTAAAAAAGAAACACAATACCCATATTCAAAACAATTAATCTTACTTCATAGAGATACTTATGACGTGCGGGAAACGAATCTGTAACGCGTTACCAAAGTTTTACCTTTTGAAGGCAGCGTTACCCACGAGAAATTAAGTTAAGCCTTTGTTGATACCTTACTTTATTACCTAGTTAGGACACAATAGAGCGTAGGCTGAAAGAGCTCCGAAAAAGGCTGTGTCCACTGAGATTTCGATTACTCTACGGTTTAATTTAAAACTTCACGAATTAAGCAGCCATGGATAGCGAGTATTCTGCTCACTGAGCCGATTAAAATTAAAAAAAAAATACTTCACCGGATTTTAATACAAGGTATTTTATTACACGGCAATGCGGAGAACAGTAGTCCTTACTTTCCAACCCTTGGGGTTTCTAGGGATGGAAAAGGCTGATTCTCTGTCACACCCCACTCTTGTAGAAAGAAGTGGATGGTTGATATGATCCACAAGTCAGCGAGCTATATGACACAGATAACAATCCCCGAATAGCTCAAAATTTGATGGTACTAGTGTACAGAACTTTACTGTACAAATGTGATAGCTCAGCTTTTAATTCTACGTACTCTAGCAACCTAAGTTCAGATCCGCTGCCTGCATAAATGAAATTGTTAATTACAATTTTAAGTCCTGACTTATCACGTGCTCTGTGAAGGAAAACATCGTGAGGTAACTTGTATATTTTCGGAATAATAGAGAAAAAAATTTCTTTTGAAATCAATGCGCATTGGGGTCGCGTGGTGGACTATGCCCTAATAACTTTTGTATACAAAAGTACTGTACAAAAGTACACTACTTGGACATATACATGCTGTTACTTTATTTTTTTTACTTAGGTGCGAATTTGTGATCTCAAGTCTAAATCTTCTGACCGCCAGTCCATCTCTGTACGATTACAATAATTGAAGCATATAATAATGTCCTACTGAAAACTCACGTAATTTATATCTAAATGAGATTACTTGGGTACAATCTCTTTACATTAACCACAAATTACATCAAGGAAGATTATTGTACCAATACAGCGAAGGTAAACACACAAAGCCCCTAATCGCGAACAACAAAGGAGATAAAACCTCGCAGAATCCTCTCGCCCTATTTATGGAGAGAGCAAATGGCCAATCCCGAATATAATCCATCATTCGATGGATATAAATAAAATAACAATGTCTGCTATAGAATTATCATCGCGAGAAAAACATGTATATATATATACCACTAATTGATGGTTTTTAGATAAGAAATAATTTGTAGTTTGGACGTGAAAGTATTATTGAAGAAAGAATAAAGAAGACTTAGTGTATGTATGGAAATAATTGATATCGTTTTAATCAATTAATTCTATTAGATTATTATGGAAAAGAAAAAAATAATAAATGATTTTTGAACCATAAATTTTTTCAACCGATACATTTCAATATGCCAAGGCCAACTTTAATTAAAAAATACCCTATACCTATTTGGTCTTCAATTTAGCGTAAAGTTTCCTTTAGCGATTCGTTCCACAACATGTTTTGTTATGGAATCCATGTGATCGCCAAAATGTTTTCCATTTCATTTTCTCTATTGTTAACCGATGTTTGTTCAACTGGTTTACTACGTTACGAGAACTGCGCACATGTCGTGCTAAGTGAAATCGGTTTGTTTGTTCTCATTGAAATATATTCGCGATTTTACCACCGTCGGCGTGTAAAATGTATTGCGTTAAACCAATATTGATTCCTACTTTTCTGTTATCAGTTGCCGCGATCTCATTCGACTGTTCGACGTCCGTTACAAGATCGGCTATCGTAGAAGTTAATTTTATAGTATCTGCGAGTACGTTACAGATCACATTTTACCCTTTCTTTCTGGAAGTTTCCAACCGATTTCAAGAAAGGATGAGGTTTTCCATTCGACTGTATTTGTTTTATGTTTGTTACCTCAGAACTTTCGACTGAGTGAACATCAATTTCTTTTTTTATTTGAAAGCTGGTGCTTCCCACGTGGTCTCATATTAATTTCATTGGTATCAGATCTTGGGCTCCGGAGATACTTAGGAAACTCCTGAAAATCAATTATAAAATGAATACGAAGCGAGATATTTGAAGTCGCATTTGTTTTTCGTTAAAAAAACATTGAACTGTACAAATTCAAATTTTCTCTCACACGGCGTAGGCGGACGGATCAAGCGAGGAGACGTTCTGCCTTATCGCCTCCGTGACGTCAGCAGTCACGATGACGTCACGCATGCCGCGAGCGCGACTGATAACGGACTGCGTGGTATGAACGTTTCCGAGGAAGCCCACGCAATGGATCACCATTATTTCGCGCGCATAGAGCTGTTATCTAATATGACGTTGTTGAACTAAACAGTCGAGTGAATTCAGTGCCCATGCGTAATGATGCAGTCCGTATATCGCAATTCTATTTTACCGTTGACGCCAAAATCCTTACTAATATTATAAACGCGAAAGTTTGTATGTATGGATGGATGTTTGATACTCTTCGCAAATACTACTGAATGGATTTTAATGAAACTTTACAATAATATATCAGAATGAGACATAGGCTACAATTTATGTACATATTTTATGTATATCTGTTTTTTGTCTGAACGTTACGCCTTCAGCGTATTCTACGCAGATGTAGTCGCGGGCAGCAGCTAGTGATTCATATTTAGGAACAAAAGTTAATGGTATAGTTAGGACACAATAGTTAAAGTTAATGATTGTTTCTTTTTACCCGATTACGTGACCCAAAGTGTACGTGTACTCTTATGTATGTTTGTTCCTTTGTAACATTACGGGGACGAAACACGAGGAACGATTTCTATGAATGTATTGAATAGCAAGACGCCATATTGCGAAAAATTTATAACAGCGTATAGAAAAAAACCGGCCAAGTGCGAGTCGAACTCGCGTACTGTACTATTATCTATATTATTTATAAAAATTATCTATATAAACGGCAAAAAAAAAATCTCCGTTGTATGGGAGCCAAACTTAAATATTTTTTATTCTGTTTTCTAGTGTTTGTTGTTATAGCGACAAGAGAAAGAAATACATCATCTGTGAATATTTCAACTGGAACTATCCACGGTTCATGAGATACAGCCTGGTGACAGACGGACAGACAGATAGAGCGGAGTCTTAGTAATAGGGACCCTATTACGTTTTACTCTTTAGGCACGGAACCCTATAAGGGTTCCTTTGACAGCATGTTGGCCTTTTCAAAAATTTTAATCACCACCCCGTCGGCTATTTTGATTCTTTCATTTGTACCCTAGAGCTAACTAGTAGGATAGTTCATTATTACCATCACGATTTACCGGATTCGTCGTAATATTAGCCATACCAATAAATCCCTGGAGTCGTAATATAGGCCGTACCAATATACCCTACCAATAATCCAATAAATCCCTTCGACATTAATTATAACGCACGGTTAGTCTCATCCAAATACGCCCGGCCCCCATACATTACGCCTCCATGGTGCGCAATTGGAATTGCCCCCAATTAAGCCTGGAGGCGGTCCGACGAGCACGAAGGTCGCGCGAAAACAAAAGCTGTCAGTCATATTCGGACGCATGACATCCCCACAGACGACGGTGAGGTAATTTTGCGAGCTCCACCATATTTTTGCGTAAGGCTCAATGAGTTAACCTTTTACCCGTTCTTTTTTTTATGTGAGGAAATGGCAAACGAGCTGACGGTTCACCTGATGGTAAGTGATGACCGCCCATGGACAATTGCAACACCCGTAGGGTTGCAGATGCGTCGCCATCTTTTAATAAAGTGGGCCCCGGCTACCTCACTCATCAGACGAAACGCAGAAGTGTAACACTTCTACTTCACGCCGGTCTTCTGTGAGGTTGTGGTACTACACTGTGCGTGGCCGTACCACAGTTAAACAATAACAAACGTTCTATCGCTCGTGTCACTAAAAATTGTTATTCGACAGTATAAAGTATTAGTGTTGTAGATATTTTTCTGGTGTGACCACGCAACAGCCCTCGCTGTTGCCCGAGTGTGTAGGGCCGTCCGGGTGACTACCACTTAACATCAGGTGAGCCGCCAGCTCGTTTGCCACCTTTTCATATTAAAAAAAATTGTCTTAGTGAAATTCTTGCTTTTCGGGCCGGCGGTTTTCATAAGCCAGACAGAATTACGAGGAATGGCATGAAAGTGTATATTACCTATAAACACGATTCTAATTTAAATATTGTAACAAAATATCCTAGCATCATAAAACTATCTGCAATTAGGCGGAAAAGCCGCATATTTATATCTTTAACTAGCGACCCGCCCCGGCTTCGCACGGGTACAATGCATTATCCATATAAACTTGCCTCTTGAATCACTTTATCTAGTAAAAATCACTATCCGTTGCGTAGTTTTAAAGATCTAAGCATACATAGAGACAGACAGACAGCGGTACGACTTTGTTTTATACTATGTAGTGATGATACATAGTTCTAAATTATATTAATTGGGTCCGTTTCAGTGACCTCCCAAAATCCGCGTCAACAACTTCCTCGAACCGTAATTAGCAAGCGAACGGTACGCGATGGGGATAGACTGGGACGGTGCCACCGTGTCGCTTTTCAACGGGCCGGGGCGTTTAACGTCGCGCCGACTAAGGGCGATCACCCCTCCCCACGCGTTGTCACCCTGACACAGTAGGCAGCGGGCAATCAGGCAGGCGACGCTTCGGCGCCCGGGCTACGTCACCCGCAGCCCGTGTTAATTGGCATCTCGCCGCCCTCGCAGATCGCGTATACCGGTCCGGTATAATTAAACTCGATCAAAGCTAACACACCCACTCCGTGGCACACCAAACCTTTGGCTTGGGCGCCGACGGTTGTGGGTTCGATCCCCACACGGGACATTTTTCGCATCTGGTTGTTCAACTGTTAATTGTTTCAGATCTGCATGTCTGTCCGCGTGAAATTTATCCGTGTAAAACTTCCTTACAACAAAGAACAATGTCATCCTATATGATAACATTGTCCTTTGTTGTTTAAGGGCAAAGATTTTTCAAAACAAAAAAAAAGCAAGACACGAACCTTTGCTCTCCATGTAAAGAACGTACGTCAAATTACAATCAGGGTCTTGTTTATTGGGTTTGGTAGCACCGACCTTTAAGTTCTTCCGAAATCGTTATCCGGAACTCCGGTGCAAAATCCGACAACACCAGGCCGTTTGTGCAAAGTTGTTGTATTTTCATCGGTCTTTAATATGCTGAGAGAATTCCAAAATATTCGTTATTGAGGAAATTGGTGGAAATCTAATTTAAAGATCCCTTCATGTGTGACATACATGAAAAATATTACATTTGCTTCTTTCTTGGTTGACTCTTCTTCCGTGGTTGACTCTCTCGTTCAGCTTGTTAAAATTTGGAAGAGAACGACGCGTTAGCTTTAGAGGCTACTTTTCTTGACCCGTATTAGCCAAGTGACTACATAAAAAATATGTATACCCTCATATTATGTGGCATATGATGACATGATGTTTCATTTAACGTATGTTATTTAACACATCGTTGAACGTCTTACTTGACAAAACTTTTTCTTAAGGTAATATACTTGAAGAAACGCAGGAATATGTAACTTATATATATAACTTATATTGAAAGCTTACATATCTTTAAGAAATGTTTCTTGCAAGAAGAACAGACCGACATGTACGTATTATTATGTATTGTAGGGGTTGAGTAGTAATTCGCAACGACCACTGCAATTTAGAAGATTCTATATAGTCTACGTTTATAAAACATTGCCCCCTTAGGAAGGCATTATCCTTTATATTAAGGACGTTTTGCCTACTTATCTTTACATATATATATAAATCAGTGGATATTATAAATAGTTTTCTCGTGTGGGAATCGAAAGCGCGACCCCCGACGCCGAAGCCCACAGTATTGGCTTACAACTACGCCACGGAGTCGTCATATTACGAGGGATTTAAATTTTTCATGTTAAGGCTGAGAAAAAATAATTATTATTTTTGTAGCAGTGTTCATATTTTAATTAACTGTTGTTTATGCCTCTGATTGTAAATTACATTAATTAAGATGTATCTATTAATTTTTCGTGGCTGTCAATCAAAAGTTTTTTTATTACTAATTCCTCTCAGTCATCGTTTTAATTGAATCATAATTGAGTTTAACGGATACGAACTAGACGCTGGAAAAAATATTCCAGAGCCTTACTCACGAATTTGGCACTAGCTGAATGGCATAAGCGTCTTTTTGCTTTGGTTTTTAGATAGAGTTTAGAACTTTGGAACGTAGCATCCAAAAATTAGCAGATGGGCACTCACGTTGTTCAAAGTTCACGGACAATTCAAACACTTCCACTTAATGCCGGTCTTCTGCGAGAGTCGTGGTACTCACCCGGACGTACCTGCCCATTCGTGCAACAGAAAACACTTGCGGGCCCTACCACAGTTGTTTGACTTTGACTTTCATTTTGAATGAGAGTTGGCGTCGAGCAGGTCGTAAAGCCTAGCCATTTACAGCATGATTCACGTGTCCTGCCTACCCCACCTAGATTTGATAAGGGCAGTAGAAGGAAAGATTCTATTCAACTAACGTCCAGACACTACGCCGATCATAACCTTCGCGAAAGGCGAACACGTCGCCACCGCCTCGTTACAGACGGGCAAAGGGAAGTGTTAATAAAACAGCGGTGTTAATAAATTCTGCGGGCAAAGACAGCGGGCGGGGGCTAATGGAAACTGAGTGTTCTTGTCGAGTCGAGTTCCCGTGGTGACGTCACGGGGTAGTTCGCTCAAGCTTTAACGTCTGCCTATAAAGCGTTTCTGGAAAACGCCATAGGTTCCAATCGGCTAGTAAAAACTCAGTTGGAACTGAAAAAAATCGCTCATGAGAAATTAGGATATATAACAGTAAGGAAATTGTTTCTGAAGTTTTTGAATTAAAAACACTAAAGGAAGGCACTCAAATTTATCTACTTCTAGTCTATAACTAGGAGATACTATATTAAAAAACTTCTCTCCCAGGATTGCCACCGCACCATGACGACCAGCACTATCTCGTTTTATCTTATTCAAACCAGAGTTGGTAATGAGGCCCGAACACCCTTCTAAAGAAGCTGTTGAGACGACATTTCACGACATTGTTCCAATTACATATACTAAATAATATATACATTGTAAGCGATATACTCGTATGGATTTTTATTCGACATCCTTTATTCTGTGCTCCTATAATTATCTCGTGGGGACATATGTTTATAACTTTAATAGATACAATTAACAGGAATGAAATGTAAACACAATATAATAAAGCTTCTAGCGCA